AGGAGGAGGAGGAGGAGGAGTGGAGGAGGAGGAGGAGGAGGAGGAGGAGGAGGAGGAGGAGGAGGGGAAGGGCGGATAGAATTGCAAGAGTAAGAGGAGGACGAACAAGGTTTCACTTGCTACTCACATCAGTGTTCGCATCCCTTGACCAGCATGCTTCTGGGGTTGGCTCTGAATGAGATGTCACGCGGGAGTAGAGGAGGAGGAGAAAGAGGAGGAGGGGAGGGCAAGGGGAGGGGAGGGAGGTAGGATCAAAGGGGGAGCGAAGCAAGCGGGGAAGAAGAGGAGGAGTGAAAGCTGGGCGGAGATAGGAAGGAGTGCTGAAGGAAAGGAGGATAAGAAAGCACCTGGATACAGGTAGGAGCAGGAGAGCTTGACTTGAGGAGGATGATCAAACCAGTAACGATTGATCTGAAGAGAAGGGAAAGCGGTGATACATGTAAGGGCAGAAAAATGAAGATGCGAATTGAGGTGGGTAGAAGGGGAGGGGAGAGGAGAGGGCAGAAGAGGGCAGGAGAGGAGAGGAGAGGAGAAGAAAGAGAGGGAAAGGGGGGAGGATGGTAGAAGCAAAGCAGCAGGAAAGAGAATAGAGGGAAGGGGAGGGGAAGGGGAGAAGGGAGATGAAAGAAGGAGTAAATCAATGGATGGAAGGTTATGAGTTCGCGGTGGGAAAGGAGAAACAGCAGCACCTGACTCTCGTCATGAAAAATGGCAACAATGTCTTCCTCGAGATCTCTGCCAACAAAGAAGGAGCAAGAGAAGTCAAACAGGGAAGGACCAAGGAAGGGAAGGCAGAAGGAAGGGAAGATGGAGAGAGGAGAGAAGGAGGGAGGAAAGGAGTGGAGAAGGGAATGGAGCAGAGGGAGGAACATGGTGAAGGACAAGATAGTTTGAGGGGATCGAGCAACAGAGGCAGAGGACGAGAAAGGAGATGAGAGCAGTGGGGAGGAGAGCAGGGGAAGGAATATGGTTGCGAGTATCAACTCACTGGTTCGTCCTCTTGACAAGTTCTTTGAGCATCTCAAGCACCTGCCCGGCTACTTTGTTACCTCCTCCTCCTCCTTACAACCCTCCTCATTCTTCTGTTCCTGCTCCTGCTCCTGCTCCTGCTCCTGCTCCTGCTCCTGCTCCCCTCTTCTCTTCCTTCTCACCTTCTGGCTCCTTCCCCCATAGAAACCTCCTGCAAAGTAATGCCTGCCTTCCCCAGCTCGCATTCCAGCTGTGGACTAACGAAGGGAGGAGGTCAGGTCGAGCAGGAGGAGCAGTTCCTACCTCCTCCCGCTTCTCGTACACGGCTCGAGTGACCAGCGCCGCGTTGCCTGCACAGGATGCGAGTTAAGGGGAAGTAGCAGGAAGGGAGAGGAAGTTAGGAGCAAAGCGAGGACGGCGAAGGGGAGAGGATCGTAGTGAGGAGCAAAATTTGAGGCAGTAGAGGCAGCAGAAATATTAGGATTGATGATGAGTACAAGGAGGAGCAGGAAGAAGCAGAGGAAAAGGAGAGAGGAGGGCGAAACAGGAGCACGAGCACGAGCACGAGCACGAGCACGAGCACGAGAGGGCGAGGGAGAGGAAGGCTCAGGATGAGACACCATGATGCTGTCGCCACATGGTTCCTGGCTCGGCATTGACTGACCATGCCTTTTGGAAGCGTCCAACAACCTGAAGAGTTCTCAGAGAGGGGAGAGGAGAGGGAAGGAGAGGAGAGAAGGAGAGGAGAGAAGGAGAGGAGAGAAGGAGAGGAGAGGAGAGGAGAGGAGAGGAGAGGAGAGGAGAGGAGGAAGGTAAGAGATAGATAGGGAAAATCAAATATTTGCAGTCAAGCTATGTTTGCATTGACACTATGATTGATATCACTGAGGAGGGAGAAGGCGAGAAGGAGGAGGAAGAGAGAGAGACGGAGCTTTGACCTCACTGCCGTCATAGAATGCGTTGTCGGCATGCAAAGTTCCAACAGTTTCACCTGATACGCAATGTGGATGAGTAGAGAGGGGCGGTGAAGGAGGAGGTGAAGACAAGGATGCGACGGGAAGTAGGAAAGCGTTGGGAAGGGAAGAAGGGCAAGATGAAGCGAGGAGGAGAGAAGCAGACTGGAGGAGACAAGAAGGAGACGGGAGGAGGGGGGAGAGGGGAGTGAAGAGGAGGGGAGGAGAGGGGAGGAGCAAGGATTTGCAAGCAGAGTGGAAGAGTAGGCGTCGTCAACACCGAGGATTTCTTGTGAGACGTAAGAGACGAAGGAAACATCTGAAGCGCAAGTGAGGAGGAGGAACAACAGAGGTGACATGCTCAGCACTACCGACATCGACAGCAAACACATAGTCCATAGCTCCCCATAGCTCCGCGTGCTCTAGGTAGGAATGGGCGCGTCTGACAGCAAGCATGAAATGGATTGAGACTGGTTCATCACCTACTTCATCGATGCTGATGGCCACCCGTCATGCTTCCTGTAGACAGCGTGGACCCTCCCGTCCTCCCATGGTCCTGCCAGCGTCTCACCAAGGAGGATCAGAGGGAGAGAGGGGAGGAGGGAGGAGGAAGAGATGCAGGAAGAGGAGGAGAGAGAAGGGGACGAAGAAAAAGAGAGGAGGCAGAAGAGGAGAAGGATGGAGAAGAAGACGAGAAAAACTCTAAAGAGGAAGAGGAGAAGCAGAACAGAAAGGAGGAATGCAGGAGAGGAAGAATGAGGAGAAGGTCTTTTCGTTGTTGAGGAGGAACCAACTTGTGTCTTTGAGTTGCTCATGCACAGATGAAACCGAGTCTGTGAACACAAAGTAGTGCAGCTCGGCAATATCCTGCAAGCAACCTTTCAGCATCAATCCCTTCCCTTCCCTTCCCATGCACAGATCTGAGAGCAGGCCATAAATCTACGATGATGACAACCAACAACATGTTGTATCCAGCATCCTCACCCGCAGCAAGTAAGATTCAGCCGAGCTGACTGTTGACCTGTGCAAAAGGGTCACAAGGACGATGCGAAGAAGGTGCAACGACCGAACAAACGACGCATATCTTCCGGATGCGACTGTCAGGATCCCAACTTTCAACAGCTGCTGGAACGTTGGTCAGATCTCGAGCTCCTCGACTGGCTGTGACGTTTCACTTGTGGGGCATGGGGCGTTCCGATGGCTTTCACTGCGACGTGCTTGTCATTGTGCGATCATCTTCTCTGCTACAAGTTTACCTGGACATGCTGCTCTTGCCTCTAGCCTCTTAGAAGTCTTGTCGTGCCTTGCAGCAGCTTTTCAGGAGTACATCACACTTAAAGTATTCCCTCACATCTCGAACAGCCTGACTTCGTCTCCTCTGCAAATATGATGTCAGTGGCAAGAATCGGCAGTTTGAGCCATCACGGACCTGCTGTATGTTGCTGAAGAAGCAAGGAAACGTTGGAGGTGCGCAATACAAGCATGCGATTCAGCATGTGTTGGTGTATGCCAAATCGCATCTCTGGGATGGTTTGAGCGAGGTCAGAACATATGGAGATGACCTGTAGGCTTGTAGCGCTCCTATATAGTCCTTCTTGGCCATCAAAACTCTCCCAAGTGCTGCGAAAGGATTTAAATGATGGATGGGAGAAAGAAAGGAGGATCAAGATGAGGTTGAGAGAAGGACGGTGAGTAGAAGGAGAATGAGTTGTATTAGGAGGAAGAAGAGGGATGCGGCGACAATAATTTTGAAGACATCAGGATATTCTCAACCATTCTCATGGACAAAATCACGTTAAAACATCTCACATGCTAAAAGCCGTGGCATGGTTGCTCCGGGAGCGTTGGACATAGCAGATATCAGTCGAACATAACTTTGTTCTACAGACATTGTCAAACCACAGCGCTATCACCTGACATCTCACGACCTGACAAGTCCAGCTGGCCTCTCTCGTAATGCTGCTCATAGTCAACAAGACATTTATCTTCATGTAACGAACTCTTTCTCACTTGAATTGCAACTCGTTCCATGTCATCGATTGTTGTCACGTTAGACAAGATGTTGACCTGATGCATCCTTCAGTCTCCTTTCTTCTCTTCCCTCCCCTCCCCTCCCTTCTTCTCTTTCTTCCCTCCTCCTATCTCTCTCCCTCTCCTCACATGCTCGGTATCATCCAGATCCGGCGCCAGCATCCCATCGCCAACATAGAAGAATTCCTGAGCAGTCCGACCCTTAGTCTCATCATCACCCCATCATCGTCATCACCACACTATCATACGCAACCGCCTCGTCCTCCTCCGTCAGTTGTACCTGGCGAACCCTCACAGCAACGAAGACGCTGCTCTCTGCTTACCTCCATCACATGATACCCTACTTGTAGCTGCGACATCTGCAAGCTGACCGCCCGCTCCTCCGTTCGGTACACCTCACGGCCATCCATGTACAGAATGACTCTGAGAGTAGGTCACTGTCCGCGTACTCCAGCGCTCCTCCTCTCTCATCTCCTCCTTCCCTCCTTCCCTCCTCCCTCCCTCCTCCCTCCTCCCTCCTCCCTCCCTCACCTCGATCCTCTCCTGCTGCTCATGGCAGAGACTTCCAGTGGAACGACGTCTCCCTGCATCCACCTGAGGCCATGGTACGGACTTGAAGGAGCTTCACCCGCACGCGCTCCCCGTCCTCGGGTCTTGTAATGGTCACAGCCACGTCCTGCGAGTCGGTCCTATCCTCCGCTCCTCTCGCTTGCAAGAGCAGGAGGAGGAAGAATATAAGCCGCCGCATCGCTTTCCTTCTCTCCCCCTGCAATCATGCGAGAAGGAGAAGACTGGAGAAACGACAAGGAGCAGGAGGGCAGGAGCAGAAGGCTGAGAGGAGGAGCTGTAAGGTAGGGTTCTGCCGATTCTGCAGCTTGAGCTGTTGACTGCCTTCACTGGGACGAAGAGGAGGGAGGGAGGGAGGGCAGGGAGGCGAGGGAGGGAGGCGAGGGAGGGAGGCGAGGGGA